ACTTCTACTCCTTGGACAAGGTCTAGATTTTGACCTCAAAAAGGCAGTAACGGTCTAAAGATAGACCCTTTTTACCTTTGATTCAGGATACACGCGATGTTCGCCCCTCCCAATCAAAGAAAAAACAATCCTAGGGGGATTCAATTTGACCTCTTTCACACAGGTTAACGTCATCGAGCAAATGCTCTAACATACAACCTCGGATAGGTGTTACATCCTTGGTGAATTCACTCGACCTCTTTCATACAGGTTAACGTCATCGAGCAAAGGCTCTGAAATACAACCTCGGATAGGTCTTACATCTTTGGTGGATTCTCTCGACCTCTTCCACACAAGTTAATGTCATTGAGTAGGGCTCTGACATACAACCTCGGAAAAGTCTTAAATCATTGGTGGATTCTCTCGACCTCTTCCACACAGGTTAACGTCATTGAGCAGGGCTCTGACATACAACCTCGGAAAGGTCTTACATTATTGGTGTATTCTCTCGACCTCTTCCATACATGTTAATGTTATCGAGCAAAGGCTCTGACATACAACCTCGAATAGGTCTTATATCATTGGTGGATTCTCTCGACCTCTTCCACACAGGTTAACATCATCGAGCATAGGCTCTGATATATAACCTCGGATAGGTCTTACATTCTTAGTGGATTCTCTCGACCTCTTCCACACATGTTAAAGTCATCGAGCAGTGCTCTGACATACAACCTGCCGGATTTCTGCCCGTCAACAGTCTTTTGAACCTCCCTACATACAACGGTATCTCCGACCTCCATCGCCAACCAACTAAAATCAGAACTCCACAAGATCTCTCGATGGAAGGTGATCACCCGACATTTCTCTTACATAAGGGTGTAGAGGGAGAAAGGAGAGATCTTCGTACTTTCTTGTAAAGAGAGGGGCCTTGGAGGACCAAGAAAAAGCCTCCATTATAAGAATAGAGGGAGAAGGTGGGATCTTCAGACTTCCTTGCAAAGAGAGAGGCCTTGGATGATCAAGAGAAAGCCTCAATTGTAAGAATAGGGGGAGAAGGTGGGATCTCCGGAAGGCGGGATCTCCAGACTTCCTTACAAAAAGAGGGGTCTTGAAGGACCAAGGGAAAGCATCAATTGTAAGAATATATGGGGAAATGGGAGATCTCCGGACTTCCTTGCAAAGAGAGGGCCTTGGAGGACCAAGGGAAAGCCTTAATTGTAAGAATAGAGGGAGAGGAGAAGGTGCAAATTTTTCTTTACCCAAGGAGGGTATTTATAGGATGAAAAGAGGGGAAAAGGCTTCTAAAAGTTTTGTTGAATTTTCTAGAATTTTTTAGAATTTGTTCGGAATTTTTGAAAATTTTTGGGATTTTTTTCGAATGTTTTGGATTTAAAAATCTATGTGGGCCCCACTAAAAAAATTCAAATTTCAGCAACCGCCAGCTTAACCGCGCGGTTAATTGCACGGTCCAGCGCGGGACGCGCCGTTTCGCACGTGTCGCCGCTAGAGGTGGGCGGCAGCTAGCCGGCCGGTTCGGCTGGCTAGTCATGTCCGTGCCCGATTTTTGGCCCGGACGGTCCAAATTTGACGTTTTTGGGGGCCCCAGACACGGTTTTCGACGTTTCAGATTCAATTTTGACACTTTCGAAGCTCAACAGGGCTTCTATGATAAAGTTTGAGCAAGATTTTGTGTTTTGGAATGCAATTTTTTGTGATTTGGCTAGTGGGAAATGTCGACACATATATTTTCGGACTTTTGGGATTCTACATCCAAAAATAGGGAGGCAACTGATACGTCCACCAAAAATTATCTATATTGGGCACAAATCTCGATGCAAAATCAAGCTGAAAACTTCAAAAATTAAATTGGGATCACCTGAACTCTGCTTTTACAAACGTATAGTCAAACTGAGCATCTCAAAAATACGAACCCAACGACACCAATTTTGGCTCGATCCGAGCCCAAATGAGTACAAATCAAGGATCTAAAGAACTATTGGAAGGGTCGAACCATAATTTGTGTTACAAAATAGTTTCCAAACTTGACGAGCTTATTTTTTAATTGAGCGGCTCGATGAGACAAATCCAACGAGCCCAAGATCGCCAAATTCCGACATCATTAAGGTCTTCAAATGTCTGATGAACGGTACGAGATCAAGGGATTCAATATCAGCCGTCCATCCATCCACTCCCCATTTTCCCTTGATCTTTCACCTATTTACGGGCCATGCTACTCTAGAAAATCTATAAATAGACCCCTCTTTTCTCTTGAGAGGGGGACCGAAGCAAGAAGAGAAGAAGAAAGAAGAGAATGAAGAGGAGGAAGAAGCTCCTCCTCGACCACCACCGGAGTTTCATCGCACCACCGCCGGACCACCACCTGAGGCCCTCACCTTCATCGAACCATCGCTGGAGGCCCTCACCTTCGCCGGACAACCGCCGGAGGTCCTCACCTTTGCCTGACCATCACGGGACCACCATCGGAGGTCCTCACTTCCGCCGAACCACCACTTTAGGCCCTCACCTCTACCGCACCACCGCCTAACGTCGTTGCTCCGCCAAACCACCACTTAACGCCCTCACCTTCGCTGAACAATCACTTGAGGCACTGCTCCACCAGGACACCACCTGAGGCCCGAACTTCTACTGGGGCACCACCTGACGCCCAGAGTTTTACCAGAGTACCGCCCTACTACAACGGACTTTCTGACCCCGGTCTCCTGCCGACTACGATCCTTCTAACCTTCATCGCCTACTATGGTCCTTCCGACCTCCATCAACAGACAACAGTTTTTTTGACCTCGGTCTCCTGTCGACTACGGCCCTTCTGACCTACGTCGCCTACTATGGTCCTTCCGACCTTCATCAACATACAACGGTCTTTCTGACCCCGATCTTCTGTCGACTACGGTCTTTCTGACCTTTGTCGCCTATTATGGTCCTTCCGACCTCCATCAACAGACAACGTTCTTTGTGATCCCGATCTTTTGTCGACTACGGTCCTTCCGACCTCCGTCGCCTATTATGGTCCTTTCGACCTCCACCACCAGATAGCGGTCTTTCCGTCCTCCATCCTATCGACTATGGTTGTGCCGACAAAACAAACACATCTATTGTAACTCTCACCATGTAATGCACTTTATATAATGTACATTTGTGGCATCAAGCCAAGGCCTTCTCCCAAGGAAGGGCCTCATTTGTAATCGACTGCAAATACTAGTGGATTCATTCAAACTGGGCCAGGCCCTGTGGTATTCCCCCCTTTTCAGGGGTTTCCACATACAAACTCTGTTGTCTTTTAGAACGTTACACCCTCTCACTTATCTGATTGTATGCTGGATCTTCGTACAATGCTAAGACGTTAAACTATATATTTCTCTACCTCCGCGAATACTCCAGGATGCAATAAGTGTAAATTCTGGCATCCGAAGGATAATTCACGCTCGTAGTTTTTTTCTAAAATATTCTATTTGAAACATAATTTTCTTAGTAGACTCTCTCTCTCTCTAATATAATATAACATAAATTTTAATGTCTAAAATTAATAAGATAAATGATACATCTCTAAAAAATTTATTTATTCAGCCAAATTTCGATGCATTATTTATATTGTAACCTTCGTAAGTTAAATTAATTAACATTCAAATTCCTATATCAACACACTTATAACAAGCGATGTTGATATGATCCATGAACTTAAATACTTAATAAATAATTTATGATCAAGAGCTTCAATATTAGTCATATGATGGAGTGTTATGAAATTTTGATTATATTTATCAAAATGCCACTCATAGAATATTATAAATAGACTCTCATTCTGCACATAAAAAAGGGCATGAGCTTTGACCTGATCTAGACTTGTGCCTATAGAGTGTATGGAGATTTGGAAAACTCTAGAGTTCTGCACAACATTTAATGTTAATGATGCCCACTAGCTTCCATCGACTTCCAAGTGTTTTCACCTGACTACCATAGTTTGATCATTACTATTTGATCACAGCCGTCTGACCATTATCGTCGATTCATTATCATTCGACCATTGTTATTAGATTGTTTTTACTTGACTACTTTTATCTAACCACTGTCGTATGATCACTATTGTCATATTGGCATCATCCAATTGTCATCGATATCACTTCACAATTTCTCCGATGATCTCAACTACAACTACATGGGACAAAATAAGTGCTCATAATCTTATAATCTCATCTTCTCCCATTGTGAAAAAGAATATAATTTTATAACTTCAAGCATATAGTAGATTATTTCAGTTGGGCTAGTTCCTATGATTTTTTTATTTATTTGTTTTTTCACACAAATTCTACTGTCTTGTATATTTTTCTATTTTATATCTATGTAAGTTGAATTTTCCTACAGAATTAGAACTACAATTCACTCAATTATCATAATTTTTTAGCACGTAATAAATATATGTATATACAAATTTATTTTTTTGGTATAATAAGCATAACTAAACATCATAAAAAATCAACAACAAACATTTTTTAAGAGTCATATTTAGTGAAAATTAATATTGTTGCGTCCAGGAGTATTCGCGGCGGTAAAGAAATATAAAGTTTATCGTCTTAGCGTTGTACGAAAATCCGGTACGCAATCAGATAAGGAGTAAGAGTCATATTTAGTGAAAATTAATATCTTAGGATGTCTTGATATAATTGTAGATTAAGATGGGCATGAAAAATTGTGAATTTATATTTAAAGGAATGTAATATAAATTTTGTAATAAATATAATGTTTATTTTAAAATAATTTAAAAAATTTTAAATTCAAATTACATAAGAATATGAATATCCTTCGATAAATGTTTTTTTTCCCAAATAGGCCTACCTTTTTTAATCGTTGTGGTTTGGATATGGCAAATTATACGAGTGATCCACACCATCGTTATCTCTTCAACGCGTAACGCGTTGTGTGGGCCCGAGTCACCGAGCCGGTGGCCGATTTTTTGTTGCGAAAGTTGGCAGGTCTCATCATTAAAGCACAAATCAACGGCAAATCACTTTTAAGCCCTTTTAAAAGGAGAACGGCGTGGAAACTCGGTTCCCTTCTTTTCTCGCATAATTTCAGGCCTTCCACCGGAGTCGACAAAGTCGGGAAAGTGGGTTCAGATGCGAGAAAGTAGCGGTTAGAAATTCCGATCCGGCTGCGATCGAGGCGGGAACGAAGGGTTACGGATGGATTACCGTTTTGTACATCTCAATCCTCTAAATTTCTCATCCTTGCCATCTGCTCGCCCACTCCTCGGAGCCAACCATACGTCCGCCCGCTTCTGCTCACGCTAGGGTTTTCATCGCCGCTTACGTCGCATTCTTTTCTTGGTTATTTATTGTTTCGATTTCTTTTTTGTCAAAATTCTTTCCCATTTCGCAATTTTTGACTGATTCTTTCGTAAATAGAGATCCGATTTATTAGGATTTAGGTAGTCGGGCCTCCTGCAGGCATGGAGCCGGCGGCGAAACCAAGTTTCGCGCGGGGCTTCATTTCTCGCCTCTTGCTTTTGGGAGTCTTTATCCTTCTCTTTCGATTTGTCTATGTGGTAACCGTTCGTGGCGGTTCCTGCGCGTCCGGCGATTTCTGCTTCTCCTCTTCCTCCACAGAGTTCTTCAGTCTTCCCGGTGGTGTGTCTGGGGGCGCCGCTTTCGTTCGTGTGTCCGACGGATCAACGATCAGCCCTGAGCTCCGCCACCTATGGACGAGCAGGGAGTGGCGCAAAGCGGTGGAATTCTACTCCTCCGTTTTCCAGGATCTCATTGTTGAGAGTTTCCTCTCCCCAACCTCGAAATCCCTCTGCGTGGAGGCCGCTTCGGGTCACGAGGTGCTCGCCTTGAAGGAGATTGGTGTTGCTGATGCCGTCGGGATTTCCAAGAAGAAGTCTCCGCCGCTGGTCGTCGCAGGAGACATTCTCCACCAGCCATTCGGAGACAATACATTCAACTTTGTCTTTGTCGGTCGTATCCTTGATCAGATCCGCCGACCGGCTGATCTCGCCGGGGAAATAGCGCGGGTGCTGAAACCCAAAGGGATTCTGGTGCTTCTCACCGCGTCTGGCGGTGACTTATACAGCCTTCATTCCCTCGAAATTCTGTTTGCTTGCTGCAAGATGGTTCGGTCCCGGGAGATCAAGAGTCCCGATTCTTCAAAATCACTTCGCGAGATTGTTTTTCAGAAGGAAGAGGTTATTCAAATTATTAGCCACAATGGGATGGAAACCGATGATGATGTCGATCCTTCCATTGGTGGCAATTTGGTTAATAAATGCTCTATGCCTGAGCATAAACTGCAATTGCTGCGTTCGGCGGAACCTCTGATTGAAGAGGAGCCACAGAAGCCATGGATCACACTGAAGAAGAACATCAAGAACATCAAGTATCTTCCATCGATAGTGGACATGAGCTTCAAGCAGAGATATGTTTACATAGATGTTGGTGCCCGAAGCTATGGTTCCAGCATTGGTAGCTGGTTCAAGAAGCAGTACCCTAAGCAAAACAAGACCTTCGAGATTTATGCAATTGAGGCTGATCGTGCTTTCCATGGAGAGTATGCATCCAAGAAAGGGATTAACTTGCTACCATTTGCAGCTTGGGTTCGCAATGAGTCCATTTCTTTTGAGGTAAACCATAATCAGGACCCGAAGAGTGATGAGAAAGGCAGTGGAATGGGTAGAATCCGAGCTGCAGGAGCTTCTTCCAAGGACCTCTCCCCTGGCAATTTGCATATGATTCAAGGTTTTGATTTTGCTGAGTGGCTGAAGAACACAGTGACCGAGAAGGACTTTGTGGTGGTGAAGATGGATATAGAGGGGACAGAATTTGATCTGGTACCTAGGCTATTTGAGACTGGCGCAATCTGTTTGCTTGATGAGCTCTTCCTAGAGTGCCACTATAATCGGTGGCAGAGGTGCTGTCCTGGTAAGAGGTCTCCTAAATATCAGAACACTTACGGGCAGTGCATCCACTTGTTCTCTTCTCTACGAGAGAGTGGGGTTCTGGTTCATCAGTGGTGGTGACTTGCGTTTGATTGCAGTAACGAAAATCAATACAAAGAAATACTAAAATTTCTGTAAGTCCTTGAGTTGTTTCATTTCTTTAAGGAGTTGTCCTTAATTCAGTTTATTTTTACCTTTAGACACTGTGATTCCCTTTACATACTTTAATTGTTCATCACAAGTGTAAAAGTTTCCTTCCAATGTATTTGAGTCCTGTTATTTATTTAGAGAATTAAATTCATTTCCAATTATTTGGAGTGTCGAATTCATTTCTTGATTGGTTGTTAGTTAATGAGCATTCTAAGTCAACATTTATCAGATAAAGTTGACACTTGAAGCAGATCTACTTAATGAACAGGTCCATTTTATTTGGTATTTTTTGTTTGACTTAAAACAATCAGTTTCCTGCTCACTAGTGTTCCTCGAGTGATCAAATCCCTGATTCTCCTAATCATTTTATTCTTAAATCCACCTTGAATCCCATTTTTGTTGGGTTCTGAAGGTTAATTTTTAGGGTTGCTTCAGCAGTTCTTTTCAAGCTGAAATTATATTTATTATTTAAGATTAGCATAGTCATTTAGTTGGAGTTTGTCCTATATTAGATAGTTAGTGTAGTCAAATATCATTTTATTGGGCATTTAGTTATCATGATTGATCAATTGGATGTCGTGTAAGTGTCACATAACTTTCATGAAGAGAATGCTTCAACTGATTGTTTAACGACCATATAGGAAATCTCTTATTCTCTGAATCACTTTGAGGGTATGAGGTTAGCATGCTCGATTCTTGGAGTAACCACATTTGGTTGCAGGGAGATTCAATCAACTAATTAATTTAATATCTATTGTAATTTGGTAATTTCTTGTATTAAGATGGTCTCTATCTTTTTCTAAAATAAAAATAGCACATTTCATGGATGCTCCAATTGATTGTCTAATAAGTAATAACTGAAATAATCTACTTTTCTGTTAACTTCATTGAGGCTTCGTTAGGGATAGTTTTTTTTTTTTTTTTTTTTACTTTTTTTTTGAAACAATTTTTTAGTGTAAAAATTTTTAATTGAAGAAATTTTTGTACTTAAAAATTACTTTAAAAAATAAAAAGAAATCTGTCACAAAAAAATCTAAATGTGTCTGCATTTCAATTTTATCTCATGTTCTAATCAACTTGTTTCTTTTATAATATATAATATGTTTTATTAAGATGGTTTCTTGCCTTTTCTTAAAAAAAAAACATTGGATATGCAAAATAGGATAAATTTTCATGGGAATAGCACATTATGCATAAGTTTTTGTTTTGCTTGGAGTGGTGAGATTTGTAGGTCAAATATATATAAATAGCAAAGGGATTGCATTGTGCCAAAGAAGAAGCAAAAAGTATAATAGGGTGAGTTGTACTTTTCATAAAACCAACATCAAAATTGGGAAATAAAAGATTGGTTGAATGGGTTCAAAAAGCAAATGCTTTTTCAACAACTAAGTTATCATGTGTAATATTTTTTTTTTAGCTAATTAAAATTAAACTCATACATCTAATCTTCGAACCTAAGACCTCTTAGTTGATAGTCAAAACTCTCAATCAATAGATCAAGGTGAGTTGCATATTTGTGTGTAATATCCATCAAAAATATAATTTGCTTGACAGTGTTACCCAATAGGGTTGAACAATTAATCATCACCCAGAGCCCACTTGTGAACATTCAATTATCAAAAGAACTCAAAAATACCCCAAAAAATGCACCAAAACACGCTAAAACAAGCCACCAACAAATCAATTAAAGCATTACCTTCCAAATTTGAGTGGAATCAAAATATAATATTAGAAATGACATACTTGCTATGGAGAAATTATCAAAGCCAACAAAAAAGAATCACAGGATTCATCAAAAGTCTACTTGCTTCCATAGGCCAACCTTCTTAATTTGTCATCTTGTTGTTTTAAAAGCCACATGATACTAAATTATTATGGCAACTGCATCAATCAATAGTGATAAAAGGCCATTTCTCCCTTCAAATATTAAAAACAATACCAAAAAGCATTAATGGCAAGCAGGAAATGAAGCTTATGATCATGGATCTAATAACGTGAAATATGCTAGCCAATAAGTGATTATTGTATTTTCCAACTCGCTGGCAGATAGCAAACAGGTGGCTTTTGAAAGCTTTTGTGGCGATCAATTTGGCAAATAAAACTTGGAAGGAATGGAAGAAATGAACTTCCTAGCAATTTCACTAGTAATCGACCTCTTCTGTTTTCTACATTGTAAAGGACTTGCAAATTATCGAAAAAGACTGTATAGAAGAACTAATGGGGGTGTCTGAAAGCATTAAAGTTCTTGTTGCCTTTATTTATCCTGAACAAATTGAAAAACGATATGGCTTAATTTGATAGATCAGTGGGATTCAAGATGGTACTCGGGGAGATAACTTATTAGATAAAGTTTAGAAACTTTTGGTTCTTTCTTACTTCAATTAATTGATAAAGAAAACTAAAGTCATCTCTCTCTTTAAATACCCAAGCTATATTTACACATTACTGTATCCGTTCAGTGTCAGATTCTGAAGCTTGAATGAGTTTATCGAGGATAAGTTAATCTTTCAGTTTTTTTGGCATTGAACTGATCACCTTCTATTAGCGGTGTAAATGAGTCGAGTCGGCTCGCACTCAACTCGTTAACGAGCTAATGAGTCGAGTTTATCATGCCATGAGTTCGAGCTTGAACCTATACTTGAACTCATATATTAATAGAGCTCAAGCGCAGGTTGGCTTGACTCGAAATCACATTGAGCTGCTCAATTAACTTAAAATATATTTAAATTAAATAATATATTTTCATATTTTAAACTAATTCTATATTAGAAGCAATCTTATAAAAAATTAAAAATTTTAATTTAAAACTAAGAAATCTAGCTCAGCAATCGAATTAAGCTTGAGCTTTCCAAAATAAGGTCAAGCAATCAAGGCGAGCTATACCCTATAGATTTTTTTAATGAGTCGAGCTCGAGCTTAGTAAATGAGCTTGAATCGAGCTCGAGTTCGAGCTCAATAAGAACTAAACAAGCTTAGTTCGATTAGGCAGATATTCGACTCATTTACACCACTACCTTGTATCTGCCAACCTAGATAATAAACTTTTTATAAATATTTTTTTCCTATTTCAAAGAAAATAAAAGACTCGATTGACCAACTAGGGTAAATTTTTATGGGAGTAGTCCACATGGCATAAGAAATGTTTTTTTTTTTTTGGACATTTAGGCCATTTAAGGCAAACTCACCCACACAACACATACACAGACTGAATCCCAATGCCTCTTAATTGGAAGCCTAAGCTCCTAACCAACAGGCTAAGGTGAGCTGTGTGCAAAAGACATGTTAACCATGTCAAGTTTAGAAAGGTATAAACTTTTATAACGGTGAGTTCTTTTTTTAATTTTTCGATTGGCTTTAAACTTTTCTAGATATCACAATTTTGATGGCTTTCTTCATATAGCAGAGGTTATGGCTTTTTTTTTTTTTTGGAAAATTAGGGGCTTAGCCCAGTTCATTAATAAAAAATGAAACTACATAATAAGATATATCTCATAGTTGGCTGCTTGCTCTGCTAGAATTTTTTCCTCTTCCTCCCGCTGATCTACCACCACCATTCTTCTCCCCTTCAGCTCTGCCGGAGGACCTCTCCCCTCATCCCCCAGATGGAATCCTCGCTCCTCCCTTCCAATTTTCCACCTCCATGTCTCTAGCTAGTGGAGTGTTTCCTGCTCCTTAATGCAATTGGAACTTTGTAATTGCTTCTGAAGATCCTTGCTCTAAAGCCCTTCACCTTTCCCACTACCCCTCCGAACCGAAAATCATTCCTTTTTCCGGTGAAAATTTGTCCAAAGGCGCAGAAGATTGGAGTCTATGCTTGGTTGGGTACTCCATAGGCCGAAGGCCTTTCTATGAGGTGTTGTTAGGCGCCATCAAGAAAAACATGGTCTCTTAAAGGTTCTCTCCAACTCCTATCCCTCAGTGAAGGCCTTTTTCTGTTGCGGTTCTCTTGTTCGGAAGACTTTGACATGGCGTGGTCTAGAGGTGTTTTGTTCCTATTGGGTAAGCCATTTGTTCTTCAAAAATGGCTTCCTAAAATCAAGCCAAAGAGGGAAAACTTCTCCTTCGTTCCTATTTGATAAAAATACACAATCTTCATATGGCTTGCTGGAATTTGGAGGGTATTTCCAGAATTGTTAGCAAGGTCGGGGTTCCCTTGTTGTTGATTCCCTTGTAGCTCAAAAGACCCGACTAACCTTTTCCAGGGTATATGTGCTAGTTGACTGCGAGGCCAGATACCTGGAAGAGATTTCAGTTTCCCTAGATGGGGATGTTATCCGGTTGAAGATGCTGTATGAATGGAGACCTAACCCATGTGAGCACTATAAGTCTTTAGTTCATTATTCTTCCTCATGCACGTCTACACATGAATCCTTAACTCAAGAAATAGGCAACCCCTCCACTACGGTTCCTAAGGATCAACCCCATTGAGGCAAGAGCTTCAGTAGAAAGCCTAGAAATCGTGAACCTCCTAAAGTCTATACCAAACATACTATAAATAACCACAACCCTTTCCAAGAGACAATCAACAAGAAACTGCACCCACCCTGCCCAAGCTGTGACTATTGCTTCTGTGGCTGGTCTTACCAGTATTCCATGCCTTAATTCCCCCACGGTGGAGAATTCCTCTTCAACCAGCATCTTGCATAACTAAAATATGTCCTCACCTCCAGGAGTCCTTTCTCCTAATAAATTTGATGCTCTTCAACATCAGCATGAGATAAATAATCATCCATACTCTTTGATCTGTATTGATTTGGCCGCCAAAAATCATAAACCTCAGGAAATGGTTCAGCAATCATCTAATTTTGTTATCCCTAAAAAGTTTGCTAGGGGGAAGCAAGCCAAGAAGCACTGTCCTCTATTACTTGATTTTTTTACCGTCCATTATAGCGTGGAACATTAGTTGGTTTAGTCATCCTAATAAAGTCTTGTGTTGCAAATGTTTAATTGAGTCCTTTAAATTATATATGTTATGCATTTTGGAGACTAGTATTCATTATCCTTCTCTCTAGGACCCCTTTTTTGAAATTTCACATTATGTATTCCCCAATGAGCACAGTTGCAATAATTTTGACTACACTTCCTTTGAGCATATATGGGTTAAATGGAATGCTTGTAAGGTGAAATTTCTCCCTGCTCACTTCTCTCCTCAGCTTATATCCGATTTTGTCACTA